TTAGCCAGGGTTCGAGGTTGGGTCAGGTCAGTTTGAATTGCTGCTGGCTGCCAGGCAAATAGCTAAAACATTTTTGCCAGGTAACTTTTTAATTAAAGCTGGCTATGGATGCTATGGAGAAGCTATGGAAGTAAGCGACGTGCCAGGTGTAACGCCTTTACCTTCACATCCTGCTGCTGCATCAGCTCCAGCTCCAGCTGCTGCTACTGCTACTGCTCCATCATCATCATCATTATTATCGTCATGATGGGGCAGTTAACAACAGCTTTCTCGATTACCACAATAAAATACTTTTGCAACAGTGGCTGCCACACAATGCCTTCAACGGTCTCCTCTCCATCGATGCGGTTTCCGAGTAATATTCCAGATTTTGTACATTCTTCAGTCTACACCTCAGTCTACAATCCTTTTAAAATATACTACTTACGGCTTAAGAGTATTACTTTTATTAGTATTATCTACTGTGGGATTTTCATCTCACTGTCTCGTTGAAATTTATTCATAAGCTGGAAGCTGAGCCTGGGCGACCGGTCGTCCTGTTGAAAACAATTTCAATTTATACAAATAAAATCAATTTCATTTATGGCTGGTTGCCTTTGCATTTTATTTTTTATGCCTGTGTGTGTAGCTGCAGTAAGCAATTTTTAATTGAAAAAAAAAAGGAAACACATACAACACATGTTTGAATAAATATTTGAAATATTCACACACTCGAACTGGAAGCTATTCCCGTTGCGATCCCCCGTCTCCAGCCATTGTTCTGGGCCTAAAATGTTGAATTATGAAAAGTCACAGGTAACGTGGCTCCAACTGGCAGCAAAATAATCAAACTGCACAAACAACTGGACCTCATAAATAGTTGAGAGGCAGAGAATACGGGAAAATAAAAATGTTATTCCTAGTCCCCCACGACCTGGGGCGGTTTGTACAGCCGGGAAGGGGCATGGGGCATCTGTCCCCTCGTTCCCTGTCCTTATGTGTGGCTGTAATTGTTTGTCTTGTGCATTGGTGTGTGTTTGCGGCTCGGATCATGGGCTGCTGGCAGTGCTTCCACATTATCTTTTGCATAGAGAAGCAAAAAACAAGCTAGAAACTAAGAATATCTAATGGAATTTGAAAATCGTAGGCTTTTCTAAAACTAACTTTAAGAAAACTATATCTTCTAAGCAGAGATCTTTATGATTTCAAATCGAAATTAGCATCTCGTTGAATTTGTATTGTTTTATTTCGATTTTCAAACATTTAGAAAGGTTCTTTAAGGCCTGTGAAAAAACGACAACACTAGCCCTGCTCCTGCTCTGTCAATTTTGCTTTCTTTTCCCCATCGGCTTTTGAAGGGAACGGAGCTGCTCCAACCACTTGTTTACACGGTCAAAACTAATTGGATTGCCCGTTTGGAACGCAACGTGAAAGGATATCCAGGTGTACATTGCACACACGTACCAGTTGGAATAGCTTTCGATGCGAGCCAGTCTACAAAAATATCATAAATTATTAGCTTCTAGATTGGCTCAAAACATGGAAGAAGAGGGTGTTTTTATGGAATTTGATCCGAGGGATAACAGGCTCCTAAGGCTGATCAAATATCCGGATCATCTCGTATTTGGGGTCCCATGTATCAGGGACGGTAAGTGAGCTTCTACCAGGTGTATATATTCTCGAGTTAACGTTGAAAACCCTCTAGAAGGACGTGTGGCTCCTCCACAAGTGGGGCGTTGTGCTACAGTGACTCCTGCTCGGCAGAATGATGACCAGGTGCCTTCTCCACGGGAGCACCAATTCAGGGAAATGCGCAAACGCTGATCAGTAATGAAGTGGAGGGGGATTTAATCTTTTTAATATACATAAACGATCTAATTCCTTAAGAAACTATATTAAATATTGTTAAATTCTGTTAATGGGGAAATAAAAGCTAGCCTTAAGATGAATCTCTCACAGGTGTCTTTTCATTTGAGAGTACATTACCAAATTGCCAAGAAAGCCAAGGAAAATCAGGTAATACAAAATTCCTGTATCCTTGGCCAAAAGTAGAGTGCAAGAAATCCTAGCCACAGCATCATACAATATTAAAATGAAAGTAAAACTTTGAAAGTTTCACTTAAAACTTAAAACTTTACTCTTATGTTTACAGTTTGCTGCCCCCAGGGTTAACCTTTGCCCTCTGCAATTAATATAATTAATTGTTGACTTAACTCCAAAGACTTGCCAAAAATTGACACAAACTTAAGGCGGAAACATTTTAATTACCCTTATGAAAGCTGGGCGGGGGGCAATTAAATTAATAGAAAGCTGCCGGGAGTCGTGAGGATATAACATGTGGAGAGAGGCCCTAAGACCTAAGACGTCTTTGAACTTCACTAAAATGTATTAAATCAACTACTTGATTCGTTTGATTGCGAATTGCGAACGAGACCTGTATATATTTTTTAATTAAGTGAAAATTGTGTGAACTTTTGGGTGTTAAGGCGCCTCAGACGGTAATTTAGCAAATTAGACCGTCCACATGGCAGGTCCTAGACTCTGAGAGCGTCGCCCCCACTCGCCCATCAACAACAACAAAAGTGGCACAGTAGCGCTGGGGTGGATCAGGAGGCGCTGGGGATGCCACTTGTTGGCCAAAGCCCCCTACCCTACTCCCTACCCGTCCTTCCTAATCGTTGCAGTCGCCTCGAGATGTCCTTACACATTTTCCTAAACAATAAAAATGCAAAAAGGAAATTGAAAGCCCCGAGTTGGAGCAATGGAGCCATAAAGTTTGTGACTTTGGCAGAGCGTTTGCCTGGCTTCAGGACACTCGAAAAATAGAAATAATTCAAAATAAATGCTATTAAGGATGTAAAATATAACAAGACTCTTAAGACATTGTTAATATATATTATTGAGATATTTGAACCTATAATCTAAAATCGATTAGATTTTTCTTTTCGTGTAGAGATGCTTCTACTTTTTCTACTGCCACTGCCACTGCTGCTGCTGTGCTTCTGGCAACTTTGTTGCGAAATGTGCAGCAAATAAGACTAAAAAAAAATAGGAAAAATCCGCCGGAGAAAGTTGCAGACCCAGATTGAGTCCGGGGGGTCCTGCCACCCTCCTCCCTCCTCCCTCCTGTCCTGTCCCTTCCCGCTACTTGTTTCGCCTCGTCACAAACATTTCGCAACGTCGCCCCGTTTTAATGGCAGTTCAGGATTGGATCCTAGCGGCGGGGGGTGGCGAATGCGGAGGTGGAGGGCGAACTCGCGGCCCTTTTGTTGCTTAATTGGCGGCCGGCGGCCGAGAGCCGCGTCGTCGTCGTCGTCGTCCGTGCACTGCCACAAATCGTCGGATGCTACCAGCTACGTGCTCCGGATCCTGGCTCCTGTAACTTGGAATCCCCACTAACCAGCTCCCGCCCCATTGCCGACTTGGGGATATAAATTTTCGCACCGTGTTCATCTATCCCACGTCCGTGCGCCATTTGCATTCCGCCATTGTCCTGCGCCAAGTCGTTTGGCCTGCCAGGATTTCGATGGCAGGATGTGGGCGCAGGGCCACCTCGTCCTGGCTTGGAGTAGCCAGCCCCACGTGCTACGTGTGTGCCATATAACTTGGCCGGCGTCATTGTCATCGTCGCTGTCCATTGTGCAGCAAGTGCATTACGTAATCAGGACACTGTCCCCAGGACATGAGTCCAATTCCATCCAATATCCGTCCAATGAGTCAGCGAAACGGTATTTTTCAAAATCTCTCAAATCTATTATTGAGCAGGAAAAAGTAATATATTTAAGTAATAGCTTATTACTTAAATAGGATATACTAAAAACAAAAAATATCCTTTTGAAAATGTAATTACTTAAAAAATAGTATAATATTTTCATTTTTATAGCTAGTATACCTTATATTTGAAATCCAAAACAAAATAGAATAATTTTCAAGCCATATCCTTTACAAATTGCATCCTTATAGGCCATAAATCTTGTTTGTTTGTTATCCTTTCCAAAAAAAAAAAATGAAAGTAAACACCACTGTGTGCAACATCAAGGATGACAGCAACAAAACAATGTGGCAAATGTGCAACGTGGCGGCTGGTGGGGGTACTGTCGGTGGCTACAACTACCCCATTCCCATCCCAGTTGGGGTCCGAGTCCAGAGTCCTGCCATTGCAGTTATGTCACATGGCTGACTTAATTCATTCATTTAGACGACGCTGACAATTGTAGGTGTCTGGTGCGCGCCCTCTGTCATTTCGTTTTTGTCAGCGCCCACGACGCAGTGCAGCAAAGGATATTCAAGGATCAGGCACAAGAACACTCGAAAAAAACAGGCCAAAGCCCAAAAAAATTATTAACCCATTGGCACTACAACGTTTCTTCTTTAATTAGAAATATAAAACAATAAGAGCCACTATAATATTTTTAATTAACTTTCAATAAGACCTGAAAAGTAACCCTTTTTTTTTGCCGAGTGTAACAGGGCGGAGTGGAGCCAAGCGGAGCTGGGCCATTATGGCTCCGACATTGTCAATGACTGGCGAATTATTATTGCCTGACAGAGGCAGTTGGACGCCAGTTCCACGCCCCCAAATTTGACCTGGTGGCAGCACCTTTCCCCACCCCCATTGTTCCCGGGTGTTGGTGCCACCAACCAGTGTGGGTGCATCATCTTGTTATGACAGTTGGCACCAATTTCTGCACACGTTGCAGGTGGGTCGGGAGGCGCCACAAAGGGGTCAACCCGTTTCTCCACAAGTCAATTAGAAACTGTCTTTGTGGTGGCTATTTTCCTTTTAAAAAAAAAGTTTTAAAACCAATTATACTCATATTTATTCTCTTTTATGTATTATACTCGTATTTTATTCCTTACTTTCAGGAGACGAAAGTTTAATATTTAAATTTCCGTTGCGGGAATTATCGATAACCGGTTGAGCGTTGCCAGTGGGTGCAGCGCTGCCAGAGTGTTCAGGATTGAAAGTTAAAGGACACAGTTGGCGCCAAATCCAAAAGCCAAATAAAAAGCCCCACAGATCATGTATATATATGTATATATTTCATATGTATCATACAAAATTTCAATTTTAAGATTTAGCAACTAAATTGGGTTGAGTTGTTTTTCGTTTTCAATTTCAAGTGCGAAAATTAAAAAAAAAGATTACTAATTAATTAATTAAGAATTGACGCAAATAAATAACAAAAAACTAATTCAATATACGCATATGTTAGGATAAATATATATATATAGATATAGTGTGGAGATGGTTCCATGTTTTTTTTCATTTTTTTTTTCGTTTTTTTTTTTTATTACAGATTAATCTTTTAATGTTGTCTTAGGATCTAAATTTCATGTTTTTTTTTGTTTTTGTTTTAATTTTTGTTTAATAAAATTGCTTGCTTGTGAGTGTGTTGGTGGATTGTTGAGGGTGTGAGAGTGTGTGTGTACGTATGTGAGGGGCTAAAAGTGTGATCGTGTCAGTGTTTTATCATTCATATCAATATTTTTATATAAATATATATATAAATAAATTTATAGGAATATGTGTTGATTTTTATGTTTTCTTATTTTCTTGCTTTCATTTCCATTTCAATTCTTTAATTCTTGATGTTTTTTTTCTTTCTTTCTTGTATTTCTTCGTTAAGCTTTACGAATCGAATATGTATATAGTGTTATATATGATGTGCTTGTGTAACCATTATGCCATTTTTTGCTGATATTCTTTTTACGTTCGATTTTCGATAAAAAACGGAAGGACTCGCGACAAAACTTGACTTGTCTATGCTAAAAAATTTCTTATTGTTTGATGCTGGATGCTCCCATCGTATAAAAACGTATAAAAAGCTAAATAGGTTGTTAAAAAATCTCTCATCTCCATGTATACGTAGATCTTTTCATATATAAATATATAAGTTTTTTGCTTTTTCATCTTGAAGTTTTCCATTATTTCCATTTATCTCTCGTCTCCGTGAACTCTGCGCTTTAGGATCAAATTGTTGTGCGACTTCTCCAGCTTGAGGCGCAAGACTTGGCCTCCAAGTTTGGATGGGAAATGTGATACTTTGATACTGATGGACCCGGATGGGGGCTGTGGGGACGTCGTCCCGCCCTAGAACTCCCACTGTGTGGCCGAGTCGGTGCCGTCTTCGAGCAGCTTGAAAGCTCCGTTCTTGGTGGCTCCCAGATACTTGCCCTGCTGCGATCTATTAACAAAAAAAGGACTTAGTACGAAGATACACTCAAATTATTCTAAAAGTCAACCTTATGCAGATCCTGGTTGGCTCGCGCAGCTCCAGGAAGAAGCCATCGCTTGGCGCATCCGCATCCACCGAGATGCTCTCGCCCTCGATGCGCCAGTACTTTCCGCTGTGCGCCTTCAGATGCACCAGCCCCTTCTGGGCGCGCTCCACCAGGATGGTCTCGTAGGTGGCCTTGTTGCACTCCAGCTTGAGGTTTCCGGGCGTGCGATAGCCCACGAATCCCTGCTCGCACTTCAGCACAAGAATGGGCCTTTAAAGAAGGAGAGACATGTTTGAGTGGTTGGTTGCTATGAGCTTAGAGCTTGGGTTTACCGATTGATCAAGTAAAAATAGAACTTGGCTATCTCCTCGATGGACTCCGAGGTGGCGAACAAATGTCCCGAACGCTTGGTGGCCAGGAACTTGCCGTTGTTGGCCCGGAAGGAGAGGGAACCGTCTCCGTGCCAGATAAGCTCAAACAGGGCATCGGCACAGCGCCGATTTCCGGTGGCCTGGATACCACCGCCGGCCGACAGGCACCAGTAGCGATCCTGGGTGGTGCGTAGAGCCCAGCGGTGCGCCGACCAGTCGTACTCCAGCTGGAACGTCTCGTTCTCGCCGACCTCGTCCTGATTGGCGGTCACATCCACGCCCTGCTTCACGCTCACATACCGCAAGTTGAGGCCGGCGATGAAGGAGGCCTGCGGCAGGGAGTCCTCCAGAGAGAACAGCTCATCCCGTGTCACCGTCGAGGAGCGCGACTTGAGGACCGCCTTGGATCCGATGGGCGACAAGTACTGTCCCTGGCGATCACGGAGCGCCAGATGTCCGCCATGGTACTCGGCACTGAACAGGCAGTCCTCGTTGCACACCACCTGCAGCTTTCCATTGGCATTCAGATATCTGATGGTAGTGGGGATTCAAGTGATACTATTAGTTTGTTTACTTCATTTCAGGCTATCCGGATCACTCACTTGTTGTTGCACGTGTGCAGGGCATAGCGACCGCCCTCCTCGGCACGGAACTCCAGAGTGAAGAGGGTGTCCTCGCCCCACGGAATGTTGGCATCGACATGGATCTCGTCTTGCGACTCGGAGAGATGGGCGAACCGCTTCCTCCCAATCGAACGAAGATTCACCTGCGGCCGGGCAGCCAAATGGACTGTCCAGAACTCGCTTGCCCCGGGCGTCTTTGCCGTGCAGACGAGTTTGTCCGGATTGCCGCCGAGGAAGTAGCCGCGCGACTCGTTCTTCAGTGCCCAGCGTCCGCTGCCGTCCTCGCTGATCGAAATCTGGAACCGGCTGCCCGCGTCCCGCTCCTCGCTCTCGCACAGCACGTTGCCAAACTGATCGACCGAAAGGTACTTGTTCAGATGAGATCGTAAGTAGATAATACCTACAATTGAAAATTAAGGACATTAATCACTTGCAGATGAGGGGAAGGGGTATTGAGCTACAAAACGTTAAACGTATTTCTCTTAAAGATCGGATAAAGATTGGGAAAGATATAAAAAAGGGTCGGAACATTGGGGCAAGTTTGGAAGTTCTGGAAGTCTAGGTTCCAAAAAAAATTTGAAAAAAATGGATTTGTATTTTAGTTTTCAAATTTTGAAGTAGAATGGAAGAGAATTTATCTAGAAATCGTTTAAGATATTCCTCTTGAAAATCGGACAAATATTGACTGAGTTATATAAGGTTGTCAAATATCTCCCTTCCGCTTTTTTGCTCTTTATTCAATGCTTTATAAAAAGTGTTACAGTGATCCGATTTAGTTTAAATATGCGCCGTTTTGTTCGATAATCCGTTTCCATCTAGACGGCAACTTCATAATACCTCCCTCGTAGAAGCCCCCCTCCTTATTTGCGAAGAACTCGGACAGCCACTTTTCACAAGCCTCTTTTGAGTTCAACTTTACACCACCAAGGGCGTTCGTCATGGACAGGAACAGGTGGTAATCACTTGGCGCTATGTCCGGGCTATATGGTGGATGCGATAAAACCTCCCATCCGAGCTCCCGTAGCTTCTGACGAGTCATCAACGAAGTGTGTGGTCTGGCGTTGTCCTGGTGGAACACTACACCCTTCCTGTTGGCCAATTCTGGACGCTTCTGGTCGATCGCCTGCTTCAAGCGGTCCAATTGTTCGCAGTAGATGGTAGAATTAAGCGTCTGGCCATATGGGAGCAGCTCATAGTGGATGATTCCCTTCCAATCCCACCAAACACACAGCAAAACCTTCCTGGCCGTCAATCCCGGCTTGGCCACTGTTTGGGACGATTCACCGGCCTTCGACCACGACCGTTTTCGTTTGATATTGTCGTATGTGATCCATTTTTCGTCGCCAGTCACCATCCGCTTCAAGAATGGGTCGAGTTCGTTCCGTTTCCGCAGCATATCGCAGGCGTTGATTCGGTCCACAAGGTTTTTTTGCGTCAAATCATGCGGCACCCAAACATCAAGCTTTTTTTGTATCCAGCCTTCTGCAGATGGTTTAAAATGGTTTGGTGACTAACTCCCATCTCCTGGGCGATGTCACGAGAAGCCACATGCCGGTCTAACTCGATGTATTCCATGATTTGATCGGTATTTGTCGTCACAGGTCTTCCGCCGGCTGGCTTATCCATGGTGTCGTTTTCACCGGCTCTGAATCGTCGAAACCATTCCTCCGCGGTTCGAAGTGATAGAGTACCATCCCCCAAAACCCCATTAATCTCACGGAACGTTTCTCTAGCGGATTTGCCTTTAACGAAGGAAAACTTTAAAATAGCGCGAATTTCGGCGTTAGTGAACTCCATGTTTACACGTCTATAACTGGTGAACGCAATATCCAAACTAATCATGCATAGCGTCGTTTTGTAGGTTATGTCAAGACCTTTTAAATTATGTATAGTGTTGCCAGATACGAGCTCTGTAGCGCTTTGTACATAGCCGCGAAATTCAAAAGACAAAAAGGCGGAAGGGAGATATTTGACAACCTTATAGCTTCCAAAAAGGGGACATATTTCCATTTCCAGAACTTTTCTCATTTTTGAAGGGGGTCCATCAGAAAAAATTTGTAAAAATGGGATTGAAAAATTTATTTCCATATTTTGATGCAAATTAATGGAGAATCGATCTAGTAATCGTTTAAGGTATTCCGCTTAAGAATCGGATCAATATTGGCTAAGATACAGCTTCCGCAAGGGGTCACATTTCCATCCCCAGGAATTTCTCCATTTTTCAAAGGGGGTCCATCAGAAAAAATCAAAAAATTTGGATCGAAAATTTGTATTGCAGATTTTGATGCTGATTTATGGATAATGAACCTAGAAATCGTTTAAAGTAATTCGCTTAGAAATCTGATAAAAATTGGCTAAGATATAGCTTCCACAAGGGGGCATATTTCCATCCTCACGCACTTTTCTATTTTTTAAGAAAAATTTTTCATGAGAAAAATTCTAAAAAATCGGATTGAAAATTTTGTATTTAGATTTTGAAGCAGAATTAAAGATAATGAACCTAGAAATCGTTTAAGGTATTCCGTTTCGAAATCGAATTAATATTGGCTGACATATAGCTTTCCAAGGGGTCAATTTTTCCAGCTCCTCAAAAATATAATTTTTTAAAGAATTTTGTTTTTTTTTATAAAAGTATGTAAAAATATCATTGTATATTTTTTTCAGTGCATTGGAAAAATCAATCAAGTTGGCGCGGAAAGGCTGGCATGGCATGGCCTGGCCTGGCACTTTGGCGATGGCACTTTCGGCTATCGATAGCCGGGAATTTCGATTTGGCTCGCTTTCCAAACATTTTGAATGCTATTATCTATTAAGCCATTTGGCCGGGCTTTGGCCAAAGCCATGCCTCCAGGCGGGGATTGGAGCTCGGAAAATGGGAGAGAGAGAGAAAAACAAGCGTAGCAAGAAATTTTCAATTTGGATGAGCTATTTTAATGGCCAAGGCGAACGCCGGGCTGACTTATGGCTTTGGTATTATAGAAAATGTTTATTAATTGCCAATGGTAACGGCCAGAGATCGGCGCTATATATAAAAACCAGTTGCATGGCCAGCTTTAATTGTAATTGCAGTTGGATGTTGGTTGGCTTTAACATCAACAGTCTGAGTCCCAGACCGAGTCCGAGTCGGAGTCGGAGTTGGAGTCCAATTCCAATGCAGCAACTTGATAAATGATGCCAAATTCGTGAGGCGCTTTGTTTTCTACTCTCCCGGCACGTCAAATTAGTGCAACTGGAATTATCCGTGCCCCCCAAATGATTTATGTTGTTTCTGACAACAAAAACCAAAATCAAGAAACTCAAATAATAAACTTGGGGGGGAAGAAATGGGGGGAATGGAGCCAAGACCGGCCGAGATGATGGTGATTACGGTTGGCAAATGGTTGCCTTGACTCTTGGCCAATTACTAACTGGCTCAGGAGCTCAGGAGCTCAGGAGCCCCTCCTCCGACCAGCCATAATCACTTGCATTCGTTGGATTAACATAACTGCTTATCTGCCTGCAGATACAGATACAGATACAGATACGCTAGAGATAAAGATAGATTGCCGTTTGTGGTTGTGTCATCGATTGTTCAGAAAACAAATCTGCAAAACTGCAGATAGAAAGTTACAATAGATACTGAGATCGAGATAGTCTCCACTATAAGACTATAAAGGTCGACTTACTTTCACCGGTGTTCGAGGGTTCGAGGGTCCAAAGCTGCTTCTTCTTCAGACTGGCGCCATTGGCGTTGAGCTTGAACCCAAAGGTCTCGGCGGTCATGTACTTGTGCTGGCCGTTGATCAGGCCGATGGTCCACCATCCCTTCTGTTGGTTCTGTGAGATGATGTCCCCGTTGCTGTGGCCCAGCTCGCAGCCCTGGCCCTGGCCGTTCATGGTGCTGATGGGAGCCATTCAGAGGCTGTATCTCCGGCTAGAGTTTCAAAAAGTGTCCTCGAGCTGAAATCGAACAAATAAAACATGATATAAAAAGTCTATAAAAATAACCACAATTTACACTACATTTGGGGCAATTATAGTCCCCTCCCCCTGCCCTGCAAAACGCCCCTGGGTGGAGAGCATTGATTATGCGTTTAATTATGTAAAACTATCCACATGATTGATGAACACTTTGTCATGGTCGGGGGAGAGGAAGGGGGATGGAATGAAGATTGGGAGAAGAAACGCGAAGGCTGCGTGCAAGATTTATGTCTCGAGTCTTCAGCTTACGACTGCGACTTGGACTTGGAGTTGGAGTTGGACTTCTCCTTCTCCGCCTGTCAGACGGGATCTCCACTGTACTGTCTGGCCATGTGTGCGCTGTATGCATTTTAAGTAGTGACGAGTGGGCAGCGGGGGGGAGTGGCAGGGAGCTTGGTCTGCCATTTCAATGGCAATGCAACAGGAAATGCAGATAACATTTGCATTACAAGGCGACACATGTCGCTGATCCGGCTCCATCTCTCCCTGGCCCGTTCTCCACTCGGTCGCCTCCAATAAATTCAAATCCAACAGGCAGAAGTCAGCTGTCGCAGCCTCGATGACACTTCTATCGATGACACCGATAGCACATTGATGAATTTCGATTGAACCAGCAGCAGGTGTCATCACACCTTTCCAAAAGGTCAGCTACCCCGCTCAGAACTACCACAACTGAGTGGAAATAAGACCCCTAAAGTATCGAAATCTATCGATAATTATCGATAAAGACCCAAATTGAATAGAAACCTCAAACTATCCACCAGAATAGATACATAGATACTGGAAATCTCCACCCAATGACCTTTCCAAAAGCTATCCACCCAGAACTACCACAACTGAGTAGAAATCAGACCCTTAAAGTATCGAAATCTATCGATAATTATCGATAAAGCCCCTAATTAAATAGAAACATCAAACTATCTACCAGAGTAGATACATAGATACTGGAAATCTCCACCCAATGACCTTTCCAAAAGCTATCCACCCAGAACTACCACAACTGAGTAGAAATCAGACCCTTAAAGTATCGAAATCTATCGATAATTATCGATAAAGACCCAAATTGAATAGAAACCTCAAACTATCTACCAGAGTAGATACATAGATACTGGAAATCTCCACCCAATGACCAGACCCGCCTATATTTTCGCGGCAGACATTTGAAACAGAAGTTTCTCCAGCCAGACAGTTGCAACTGTAAACCGATAACTACTAAGTGGCGGGTCTTGGCAGCTGCACCAACATGCTGAACCACATTAAGAACAGAAACTGCTGTTGCAACAAAAAAAAAAAAAAAAAACCGAACCAGAACCAGAACCAGATACAAAAAACCAAGTGAGTAAAGGAGAACAACTCATTAGCGTGACGCGTGCCTGCTAATCAGAGCTTATGAATCTCTGGCCGGGTTGCTGGCTTTCTGACTCATCCGGCGATAAAAAAATATAAAACCACGCCAAACATAAATTAAGAACAGCTACAAAAACTTAAAATATATAAAAACCGGGCAAGGGGACGGGGCGCAACTATAATAATAATAATAATAAATAGGCAGGAAAAACAGTTGATGCCACAAAAGGTGTGTTAAGGTGCCACCTGTGGCAAGGTGGGTGGAGGTGGCTCCTACTGGTTGGATTTCGCATTCTAATTTCTTAAAAAGGGGGAGGGGGGGCGATAAAGACAAAAGCGTGACTGCGACTCTCAGCACTTGCTGGATGTTCATTTTTCTAGGCGTTGGCTCCTGCCCATCTTGCCGGTTGGTAAGGGCGTGGCAGGGACGATGGCCTGGGCGTTGGCTTTTAAAAGCAAATCGCAGATGGCAGATTAACATCAAATGAAAATGAAAATGAAAAAAGTAAACAGTTAACAGCTAACAGGAGGGAATTAGCCAAGCAAATGTATGCTTTTGGCCAACAAAGTCAACGGACTGAGCCAACTACCAAAAAGCAAAGTCAGCAGGTTGGCTGGAAAGCCAGCTAACTCTCTTGTTAGCCGGTCTCCGGTACCTCTGGTGTTTACCTGTTTCGTCATTAATTTTCCCCAACTTGAATGCGATTCGATAGGCGAAAATGTATGAACATTGAACAAGTTAGCTGAACAATTAATGGTGGCCATTTAAAACAACAATTTCCACGCTCTTGACCACTGCAAATCATAATTAATTATGCAAACGTTGAGGTTTTGTATCTTTCTCTATCTATCCATCTATCTATCTATCTATCTTTTTTAGCTTTTTCTGTTAACTTGCCCCTGAGGTCAGACGTCTTGGATACGTCTTGGATGTGGATATAAAGTGAAAGATTTGATTTAGACGTCCTCTAACAATTAGTAGAAACAAAGAAATGCAGTTAGCCAAGCACCGTTGCAACAACATCATGATCTCGTCTTCATCGTTATTATCATCCAATTACTGCAAATGGAGTGCCGCCGCCGGGCAACGCCAAGCGGAACAAATGCAATCCGCATCCAACACATCCACACATCCATCATGTCCATTTCGAGTCCATCTGGAACTCTGATCTTCTCCAGACCGATGGCTGATGGCTCTCTCTTGAAAGCTAAAGTCTAGTAATATTTTTAGTTTTTTAATTCAAGAAGTAGGGACTAGGTTCTACTAGGGAAGTAGTTCTTCTAGAGGCAACATATAGCAGGTGTTTGGAACTGTTTGGCATTGTTTGAATGCGACTGCGTTTATCAGTTATACCGTTATCACGCATGAGAGCGAAACACACGCAAAATAAAAGCAGGTGAGTATCTAGCCAAGGCAGAGCAACACCTGAGATACCTGAGACACCTGAGAAGTTGGTGAAAGGTGCGCGCGCTCTGGATGCTTCTAGCTTCCATTTCATATTTTACATTTTTCCTAATTTGCTAAAAGCCCCAACTAGGCCTCTATAGAGAGTATGTGGTGGTGTGCGTGTCCAATTTCATTTAATTAGATTGCGTTTTAATAATGTCACACACACACTTAGGGAGAGATACTAAATTGCCAGCATACACACACTCCCATGCAGATACTGTATCTTTGTATCTTTGTATCTGCAGCAGCAGCAGATATTCACCGACATCCAATTGCTTTGATATTGATAGTGTAATTTAATTGATTTGCGAGCCAGAGCCAAGCAGCGGAATAATAATAATGAGCTAAATATCATGACTAGTGCTCCCTCCAGATACTCTACCTCGTGTTTCGGTTACGCCACCGTTTCAGTAATTCCCTCGAAAAAGACCCCCAATCTGCTGATGTTGCAGTTCAAAAAATTATATAAAATGAGACATGGGTTTCATGGTTTTTTTTTGCTGACCCCACAATGAAATGAAATTAAAGAAAAGACCTGGGGGCTGGCTTTTGGCAATTTCTTCATAAGCGCCATTAATCAGCGACAAAAGACCAGACAGTGCGATCGATTGTGCGATTTTCTTTTATTTTCTTGCAAAAGTATGTTGCAACATACGGTATATCTTACTGTAATGCAGCAAATGGAGCACCATTCTAAAAATACAGCCACACCATCTCACATACATACATGCCACATAACAAGACATTAACAGGGGGCCTCAAGATACTCTTCTGGCGGAGCTTCTTCTGGCCAGAAGAAATAGAAACATTTTACCCATGCTACCTGCTACAGTTTCTACAGTTAACGATGTGCTCGTGTCGTCTTCCATACTCACTGCCACTCTCCACTCAGAACTGAGACAAGTCTTCTCTTCTCAAAATTTGCTGTGGCATCAAGACAGTGGCAGTGGCAAGACGCACGCGCGCATGCGCTCTCAAGCGTTGCATATTGTTTGTTGCAACTTTAACGGCTGTCAAGAATGCGGGGCAGCAAACTGAAGAGGCAGCTCAAGAAGAGAGAGGCCTCTAAGATGTATCTCACCAGGGATATACCCTAACTTTTTGGGGATTAATTATTAAAATGGAGACTAAAACCTATAGGTAGGGAAGGGTACTCTGAGGAAGTATCTTCTACCTTCCTTGAACTATCTTAGGGATAGCATATACCCCATTGTATCTATAGGGTAACTCGTACATCCATGAGATACTCAAAATGTGAATTGTGGCTAGTGGTTAGTGAGATGCAAAATCGTTTACCACTGCCACCTCCTCCTCCTCCCCCTGAGCCAGCTCATGAGTTGCCTTGGGCCTGTTATTTTTAAAACATTTTGCGGTTTTCCCCCCCTTTCCCTCCCCCCTTTCCTATCAGATTAAAACAAAAGAAAACAACTTTCATCGTGTATTTACATACATGCTCTCTCTCTCTTTCTCTCCAAATATCTGACAGATACAGATACAATTCATCCAACTGAGAACTGTGATGATGAATCGATGATGTGGACAGTTAGGATAATGACGGCCATAGGATGTCATAATGAAGCCTTAAAAGATCATCAGACTAACCGCAGAGCCACCGAGAGCCACAGAGCCACCGACATTCAATTATCGAACCGATATAGTATCTGACGAACCCCCCGATCGATGGCGGGGGGTCACCTTTCCAATTGTTTCATAATTACTCTGGCTTGTGGCTGGAGAGGCTTTTCTCCTCGGCCTGTCTGTAGAAAGCTCCAAAAACAAGTGCAACAATCAATTATTATATCGCTCGGCTCGAAAAGTAAAAGTCGGGGGGCTGTTTGGCAAAACGCCAATAACCGTTAGAACAGCTACAGCTTCGCAATCGATTGTCATGCAAATTTTGGAGCCAAGATGTGGATGATTATGATGTGGCTGCCAAACCAAACGGAATCCCCAACGGCGCTACCAAAATAGTATAACAAAGACCAGCACAGTGGAAAAAAAAAATGTGAATGTTTCGGAAATGAGGAAGAGTCATATATGGAGGGAGGGGAGAACTGGGTTTTATTGGATCGTTTCCTCGTTTTTCTCTCTGTGTATGAGGGTCACTGCAGTTTACAGTTGGGAATCAAAAAATCAAAATCAATAATAAAATGGAGTGATTTCAAATAGAGAAATC